AGTCACTCACTCACCCACTCACTCACTCACCCATTCACCCACCCACTCACTCACTCACCCACCCACTCACCCACCCACCCACCCACTCACCCACCCACTCACCCACCCACCCACTCACCCACCCACCCACCCACTCATCCACCCACCCACCCACTCACCCACCCACCCACCCACCCACCCACCCACCCACCCACTCACCCACTCATCCACCCACCCACCCACTCACCCACCCACCCACTCACCCACCCACCCACTCACCCACCCACTCACTCACTCACCCACCCACTCACCCACCCACTCACCCACTCACTCACCCACTCACCCACCCACTCACTCACTCACCCACCCACCCACCCACTCACCCACCCACTCACCCACCCACCCACTCACCCACACACTCAACCACCCACTCACACACCCACCCACCCACCCACTCACCCACCCACTCACCCACCCACCCACCCACTCACCCACTCACCCACCCACCCACTCACCCACCCACTCACTCACCCACCCACCCACCGTGGTAGGTCTTGGCAGAGTGCTCCTGTTGGGTGTGCGCAGCTTCGGGGGCAGGGTCACGGCAGGAGAAGTAGCGCCACCCACACGGAGTAGTCTCAACCACCGCCTCACTACACACACACAGACACACACAGTCACACACCTACACACACACAGTCACACCTACACACACACACAGTCACCCACACGGAGTAGTCTCAACCACCGCCTCACCTACACACACACAGACACACACAGTCACACACCTACACACACACAGTCACACACCTACACACACACAGCCACCCACACGGAGTAGTCTCAACCACCGCCTCACCTACACACACACAGACACACACAGTCACACACCTACACACACACAGTCACACACCTACACACACACAGTCACACCTACACACACACAGCCACCCACACGGAGTAGTCTCAACCACCGCCTCACCTACACACACACAGACACACACAGTCACACACCTACACACACACAGTCACACACCTACACACACACAGTCACACCTACACACACACAGCCACCCACACGGAGTAGTCTCAACCACCGCCTCACCTACACACACACACAAAACATGGCCCTGACTAACACACACACAGTCACACACAGTCACACACCTACACACACACAGCCACCCACACGGAGTAGTCTCAACCACCGCCTCACCTACACACACACAGACACACACAGTCACACACCTACACACACACAGTCACACACCTACACACACCAGTCACACCTACACACACACAGCCACCCACACGGAGTAGTCTCAACCACCGCCTCACCTACACACACACAGACACACACAGTCACACACCTACACACACACAGTCACACCTACACACACACAGCCACCCACACGGAGTAGTCTCAACCACCGCCTCACCTACACACACACAGACACACACAGTCACACACCTACACACACAGTCACACCTACACACACACACAGTCACACCTACACACACACAGCCACCCACACGGAGTAGTCTCAACCACCGCCTCACCTACACACACACAGACACACACAGTCACACACCTACACACACACAGTCACACCTACACACACACACAGTCACACACAGTCACACACCTACACACACACAGCCACCCACACGGAGTAGTCTCAACCACCGCCTCACCTACACACACACAGACACACACAGTCACACACCTACACACACACAGTCACACCTACACACACACAGCCACCCACACGGAGTAGTCTCAACCACCGCCTCACCTACACACACACAGACACACACAGTCACACACCTACACACACACAGTCACACACCTACACACACACAGTCACACCTACACACACACAGCCACCCACACGGAGTAGTCTCAACCACCGCCTCACCTACACACACAGACACACACAGTCACACACCTACACACACACAGTCACACACCTACACACACACAGTCACACCTACACACACACAGCCACCCACACGGAGTAGTCTCAACCACCGCCTCACCTACACACACACAGACACACACAGTCACACACCTACACACACACAGTCACACCTACACACACACAGCCACCCACACGGAGTAGTCTCAACCACCGCCTCACCTACACACACACAGACACACACAGTCACACACCTACACACACAGTCACACCTACACACACACACAGTCACACCTACACACACACAGCCACCCACACGGAGTAGTCTCAACCACCGCCTCACCTACACACACACAGACACACACAGACACACACCTACACACACACAGTCACACCTACACACACACACAGTCACACACAGTCACACACCTACACACACACAGCCACCCACACGGAGTAGTCTCAACCACCGCCTCACCTACACACACACAGACACACACAGTCACACACCTACACACACACAGTCACACCTACACACACACAGCCACCCACACGGAGTAGTCTCAACCACCGCCTCACCTACACACACACAGACACACACAGTCACACACCTACACACACACAGTCACACACCTACACACACACAGTCACACCTACACACACACAGCCACCCACACGGAGTAGTCTCAACCACCGCCTCACCTACACACACACAGACACACACAGTCACACACCTACACACACACAGTCACACCTACACACACACAGCCACCCACACGGAGTAGTCTCAACCACCGCCTCACCTACACACACACAGACACACACAGTCACACACCTACACACACAGTCACACCTACACACACACACAGTCACACCTACACACACACAGCCACCCACACGGAGTAGTCTCAACCACCGCCTCACCTACACACACACAGACACACACAGTCACACACCTACACACACACAGTCACACCTACACACACACACAGACACACACAGTCACACACCTACACACACACAGCCACCCACACGGAGTAGTCTCAACCACCGCCTCACCTACACACACACAGACACACACAGTCACACACCTACACACACACAGTCACACCTACACACACACAGCCACCCACACGGAGTAGTCTCAACCACCGCCTCACCTACACACACACAGACACACACAGTCACACACCTACACACACAGTCACACCTACACACACACACAGTCACTCACAGTCACACACCTACACACACACACCTACACAGACACACAGACACACACAGTCACACCTACACACACACAGTCACACCTACACACACAGTCACACACCTACACACACACACAGTCACTCACAGTCACACACCTACACACACAAACAGTCACACACCTACACACACACACAGTCACACACACACACACAGACACACACACACACAGACACACACACAGTCACACCTACACACACACAGTCACACCTACACACACACAGTCACACACACTCACAAACCTACACACACACAGACACACACAGTCACACACCTACACACACACAGTCACACCTACACACACAGTCACACACCTACACACACACACAGTCACACACCTACACACACACAGTCACACCTACACACACACACAGTCACTCACAGTCACACACCTACACACACACACAGTCGCTCACAGTCACACACCTAGACACACACACAGTCATACACCTACACACACACACAGTCACTCACAGTCACACACCTACACACACAGTCACCTACACACACACAGTCACACACCTACACACACACACAGACACACACAGTCACACACCTACACACACACAGTCACATACACACACACAGTCACACACAGTCACACACCTACACACACACACAGTCACTCACAGTCACACACCTACACACACAGTCACACACCTACACACACACAGTCACACCTACACACACACAGCCACCCACACGGAGTAGTCTCAACCACTGCCTCACCTACACACACACAGACACACACAGTCACACACCTACACACACACACAGTCACTCACAGTCACACACCTACACACACAGTCACACACCTACACACACACAGTCACACCTACACACACACAGCCACCCACACGGAGTAGTCTCAACCACTGCCTCACCTACACACACACAGACACACACAGTCACACACCTACACACACACACAGTCACTCACAGTCACACACCTACACACACAGTCACACACCTACACACACACAGTCACACCTACACACACACAGCCACCCACACGGAGTAGTCTCAACCACTGCCTCACCTACACACACACAGACACACACAGTCACACACCTACACACACACACAGTCACTCACAGTCACACACCTACACACACAGTCACACACCTACACACACACAGTCACACCTACACACACACAGCCACCCACACGGAGTAGTCTCAACCACTGCCTCACCTACACACACACAGACACACACAGTCACACACCTACACACACACACACAGTCACTCACAGTCACACACCTACACACACAGTCACACACCTACACACACACAGTCACACCTACACACACACAGCCACCCACACGGAGTAGTCTCAACCACTGCCTCACCTACACACACACAGACACACACAGTCACACACCTACACACACACAGTCACTCACAGTCACACACCTACACACACAGTCACACACCTACACACACACAGTCACACCTACACACACACAGCCACCCACACGGAGTAGTCTCAACCACTGCCTCACCTACACACACACAGACACACACAGTCACACACCTACACACACACACAGTCACTCACAGTCACACACCTACACACACAGTCACACACCTACACACACACAGTCACACCTACACACACACAGCCACCCACACGGAGTAGTCTCAACCACTGCCTCACCTACACACACACAGACACACACAGTCACACACCTACACACACACACAGTCACTCACAGTCACACACCTACACACACAGTCACACACCTACACACACACAGTCACACCTACACACACACAGCCACCCACACGGAGTAGTCTCAACCACTGCCTCACCTACACACACACAGACACACACAGTCACACACCTACACACACACACAGTCACTCACAGTCACACACCTACACACACAGTCACACACCTACACACACACAGTCACACCTACACACACACAGCCACCCACACGGAGTAGTCTCAACCACTGCCTCACCTACACACACACAGACACACACAGTCACACACCTACACACACACACACAGTCACTCACAGTCACACACCTACACACACAGTCACACACCTACACACACACAGTCACACCTACACACACACAGCCACCCCCACACGGAGTAGTCTCAACCACCGCCTCACCTACACACACACAGACACACACAGTCACACACCTACACACACACAGTCACTCACAGTCACACACCTACACACACAGTCACACACCTACACACACACAGTCACACCTACACACACACAGCCACCCACACGGAGTAGTCTCAACCACTGCCTCACCTACACACACAGACACACACAGTCACACACCTACACACACACACAGTCACTCACAGTCACACACCTACACACACAGTCACACACCTACACACACACAGTCACACCTACACACACACAGCCACCCACACGGAGTAGTCTCAACCACTGCCTCACCTACACACACACAGACACACACAGTCACAC